ATTTTGCTACTTGTAATTTATATATAGATGCATATAATATTTTAATTGATAATGCTATTATGTTATACTAATTTTATGATTGCTATATATAGATGTTTTTGGCACTGCATATAAATATCTTATTAATTTAAGAAATAAAAAAAATAAAGAATATTGGAAATTCTTAAACAATCCTTACAATACATTAAAAATTAACTGGAAAAAAAGTTAAGTTCTTAAATTAAAGGCAAGAATATAATTCAAATGTCTCTCATTATTAAAAAAGTTTTTTTAAAAAATATAAGGTTAAAAAAAAACTATATACAAAGATTTTTTGTAATTTGGGTTATTTGATTCAAGTGTTTTTTGAATTATGTTCCTATTAAGATAATAAATAATTAATTATATTTTTTCAAAAAAGACATAATTGATCTGCAAAATTTTATATACTAAATAATTTAGGAACTTTTTCTTAGATATACTGTAAGTAATACATTTATATAATATATATTTTATAACAATTATTTTTAAATTTATCAAAGGAAGATTGATAAAAGAACTTTGTTAAAAATCCGCAATATGTAAATATTTCAGATACCCATATTTTGTTGGCTGATATAAAAAAAGCAAAAGAGGAAAGACAAAAATTAAAAAAAATTTATAAGTACTTGTTATATTATATAATATATAATATTATAAATTATATTGAAAGTATAAGAGAATTTATTGATCCAAAAAACATTAACAAGTATACATAAGGTAAAAGAAATATTTTTTGATTCTTTACTTGATTTCAATTAAAAAAAATACAAGAAATATAGTGTTTCAAAAAAAATATATCCTTTCTTTCAAGAGTACCTGTTTTCAATACTACTACTTACTTGTCTTATGCTATCAATACAATACAAGAAGTAATAATTAAAAACAAAAAGATTGAAAAGATTATTTCTGCTATTTATCAAAATCATATAGGATCAAATGTCTTGTCAATAATACAAGATACAATTATTAAAATAATACAAGTATAAAGAAAAGTAGTATAATTATTAGAAATAAAAAAATTGGATCAGAATACTATAACTACTACTGAATATATACAGTATATATATATATATATTTATTTATTTAAAACAAATTGATTTTTTTTTTATTTTAATAGACAAATGTAATAATAAATATAAATAAGTAAAGAAAAAAAAAAACAAATAGATAAATATAAAAATAAATAAATAAATATAAAAATATATAGGCAAATATAAATAAATATAAAAGTAAGTAAAATAAATAAATATAAAAATAATTGAAATAAATAAATACAAAAATAAATAGAATAAATAAATATAAAGACATATAAAATAAATAAATACAAAGATAAATAAAATAAATAAATATAAAAAGAAGTAAAATAAAAATAAGTTTATAAATAAATAAGTAAATATAAAGATAAATAAATAATACAAATAATTGAAAAGAATATATAAATATAAAAATAAATAAATAAATATAAATAAATATAAATATAAAAATAATATATCTAAAATATAATAAAAAAATATTTGTAATTTAATAAATAAAAATATTTTTACTATAGATAATTTTTTGATTAATTATTTATTTATAAAATATTATATTAAAAAAAAAGAAAAAAAATTTAAATATTTAAAAATATCAATATTATATATATATAATAATATTAAGTTAATTAAGACAATAAATAAAAATATATCTTTATAGTTAAGTCTTATTATTTCAATAATATCAAATTTAAAGTATATAAAAAAATATAATTTTATTATAATTGAAAATATTTTTTAATAAATATTATAAAGAATTTTTTATAATCCATATTTAATTATAAAATCTGATTAATTAAAATATTTTAAATTTTTATTTATTTATTTATATATATTAAAATTATTTTATTTTTAGATTTAATAAGTAATTTATTAGATATATTAAAGTTTTTAATATCAAGTTTTTTAGAAAACTATTTTATTTTTTTTAAATTAAACTTTTTAATAAAATAAGTTTTCATATAATAATTTAATTCAATTTATTTGTTTTTTTTTATTTTCAAAAAATTACTTTTTCTATTATATTTAATTTTGATATTTTGTATTTCAAGATTTAATTAATATTGAAATCTTTTGAGAATTTAAAAATTGCTTATTTATTAAAAAAAATATAATTTTTTTTATATAATTCTTTTTTTCTTATAAAAATAAAATAAAAATATATGTATTATTATTATTATTATTATTATTATTATTGAAATAATATTTTTCCAAATAAATATAAGAAAAATTTATTTATAAAGTCAAAGTTAAAACATTTTGTTAAAAAAAAAACTTATAATATATATATTTTCAAAAATTTAATACTTTAAAGAAAATAATTACAAGCTTTTAAAACTTTTTTTTTTTAAACTCTTCTTAAACATATAAACTTTTTTTAAATTTTTTTAAAAAATAATAATTAGTTGAAAATTTAAACTTATTGATTTACATATAACAAAAAATATAAACAAAATATGTATTCTTTATATGCCTTATCTTATACAACAAAAAATCCAATAATATTATTGAACATAATGAAAAGAACAAGACAATAAAATATCTATTTTGTTAAAAAAAATTATAATATTTATTTCTTTTTTTTTGTATTGATGTTTTTTTTTTTCAAAATTAAAAAAGATCTTATTTCAATTTAATAAAAAGTTTTTTCTGTTGTTAATTATTTCAAGAAAGTATTCAAGTTTTTTATAAATCTTGTTATAAATATTTTGAACATTTTTAATCAGTAATGGAATAGTGAAAATTAAATAATTTATCTAGTTGTAAATGGTAATAAAGAATTTATTTTGACTAATTAAAATTAATTTTAAAAGGTTTTTATTTGCCAAAATAAAATTTTCAATTATTCTTTCTTCTTTTCCTTTATTTTATAAAAAAAAACAAAAATTCTTTTATTTTCTAAAACTACAGATTTGTATTGAGATAACAATATGAATATAGACTGGCTTTGATCTTTCAAAGTTAAGTTATAATATCTGATTAAAAAAAAAAGTAATTTTTATTATTTCTTACGATCACATCTAGAGAGTTATTATTTATTTTTTGAATTGAATTATGATAACATGTTTAAATGATTGTAATTACAAGAATAACATTTTTTTAGATAACAGTATCTATCTCAAGTACTAAATATTATATGTTTATGCTGGTTGTATGTAATGCTTTTTTAAAAGAAATTATATAATAATAGGGCGTAAGATTTTTTGCCAGATTTCTATATCTTATTTCTTTTGCATTTCCAATTGAAACCTTAAAGCAGAATATATTCACGGTTACAATTAACATAATTTTTGATATGCATTCTTTAAAGTATGGGTTTCAATTTACGAATGAATCATAGGATTTCTTTATGTTTGCACAAAGTTTAATTTAAAATGTTATACAGTATATCGTAATTATTATTTTTTTTTCAATGACATAATTCACCCTTGTGTAAAAACAAAAGGAAATTTGTAAAAGGAGTACAAAATTACTTTATTGCGCAACTTGGTAATTACGTAATATGATATTTTACATATAACCGCGGGATATTTGTTCCATATCGGTTCCACGGTTTAATATTAAATGAGTTACGACCTATCTTGCTTTTGGGGAATCAATGAGCAATAAGTTAATCGAATAATAAAATAGATTATTAGTACCACATTCGAACGGATTGTTGTTACTGTACATCAATGCATCACACTACGTGCACTCCTCTATTATTATTATTGAGGATGAGTGTCACGAAGTATGTATTTTTTATTATGTTGTCAATAATACAGCGGCTTTTTATTTTACATTATTATTATTTTTTTTTTATCTATCAACTCATATCACTTCGTCACCATCATTAGGAACATATTTACTTTCCACTAAATGGTGTGTATGGTTAACATTCGAACAACCATTGTCCGAACGGCAAATTTCGATTCCTTTAAACCAATTGTCCTCTAGAATATCTTTCATTGTAGCGCGCTTCTCCGGATTTACCTCCAATATTCGACGTATTATTGGACGTGACGCCTCGGGAATTTTTTTCAGTAATCGGTCTGGATATTTTATGTATGCTTTGAAGGATGAATCGGATTCTTTTGTCGACAACCACGGGAATCTACCGATGCTCATACAAAAGAACATTACACCAATTCCCCAAATATCGGCAAGTCTTGGATCATATGAATCACGACTAAAGGCCTCCGGGCATATATACGGATCCGAGCCGCGTGGTTCTAATAATGGGTAAGACGTCGATCAATTTTTGAAAAAATGAAAAAAAAAAAAATAGTGAAAATGCAACTTTTTTGATATTTACCTCGAGAAAGAATGATCCTGTTGTCAAAAGGGTACTTGAACACGATGGAGCAGCCAAAATCAATGATTTTTACTATTCCATTCTCGTTCAAACATACATTATCCAATTTTAGATCCCGATGGGAAATTCCCATTTCGTGCAGGTAATTTATACCATTTACGAGTTGTTTGAAAACGCAGGCGATCTCCGCTTCACTCATCTTTTCGCTCATCACCGTCTCGAATAAATCATACGGGGCAAATTCCATTATCTCATATAGCTGACCATTCTCATGTAGGATATCCAACGTCTCGATAACATTTTCGTGGTGAAGCGTTGAACCAATGCAAAATTCAGCAACAATTTTTTTGAGATATGACTTTTCGGATTCGTAGGGACTTCGCTTACGAAATTGTTTTACGGCAAAAACCTTATCGTCGGTCAGACGGTGGATTAGTCTCACCTGGCCACCCACACCAGAACCGAGCACCTTACCCCATCTACCATACTTCTCGATGTTAACGTTCCTGTTTGAATAATACCAAGATTTTTGGGAACTCTTTGACTTTTTGGAAAACACGTGTTCTTTTAATCCCTTAAGGAAGGATTTTGTTTTCGATCGACGACCCGGTTTCTTGAAGACGAACCGAGGGGGAGTCGAGTCTGATGATTCATATTTACTTGAGGTCATGCCAACTGAGATAGAGGATTCAGTGGTCACTTGGGAGACTTCGGTGCTACTCAGTTGGGGAGTTAGCAGCAAATCATCAGGCATAGTAAAAGTAGCTCCATCACGATCATTTTGTTTTAACATGTTTAATTGATTTAAGGCTGCAGGCTCGCCGCCAGAAACCGTAAGTTCGTGTACAGTGAGACGTCTTGTGGAAAATAAGTCTGCTTTCAAAGCAGACGAGTTTTCCGAAGAAGAACTTGTTAGAGAGAGATTTGGCAAGGAAGCAGAAGAGAGGTCTTCTTTAGAATCATTAAACGACTTTATTGGTAGCATCATGGGTGAAGGAGCCGGTGATGGCGATGTGGATACGGTGAAGTTGGATGCATAGTCGGATTGATCTTCTATCCACTCTTCAAGGAAACCGTTGTCATCCTTATGAATAACTATTACTGGTGTCGATATTATTTTACTAGATGGTTTTTTATGTGACAGTTGACGTGTGAGTAATGTACTTGCGGCCATTTTTGCCGGACTCAAATTTCGGGTGGCGATTGGAATTTTTTTTTTTTTTTTTCACTTAAAAATATTGATCAAAACACGAAACATGGTTTATATACTTTATATACACATTCACCTGCATAAATAATTACAGTGGTGGCCTTCCTCGGCCGAACATATTAGCCGACGGGTTATAGATTGCACGTGTGATATCAATTTATTTTTTAATTAATACAATCAATTGCTGCGTTCTCTGCGGAATACGGATACAACAATTGAATTTTCCTAACAAAGATGGACCGTATTTTGCAATTGCAATTGGTAATATTATTTATAAAACCTATACGGAGTAAAAAAAATGCTTTAGAACTTTTTTAAGTTCCATAAAGTACAAAACCCAAATTTGTATTCAAAACAATGGATCCGTCAGTTTGCACGTGCGACCTCATCCTCTTTTCAGTTTGTAATACAAACGTTTGATATACAAATTACTAATGCTGTTCATGAAGTTTTCCAATTTTAAAAATAAAATCTACTAGGGAATGCTGTCAAAAAATATTTTTTTTCCATGCAGATGTATTATAAATAAACTATCCTTTTATGATAAGAATATCGGAATCGTTATTCCTTGATATTTTTTATCATTCTGAATACAAGTGTGGCGGGGAGATGATAATGATAATGAACATATCATCATCAATGAGCATCTGCTTCGGATACGGTAAATTCGGTCTAATATATTATCCACCATAGTACATATAGTGCAATGATAAGTGATGGGCAAAAAATTTACCCGTTTTAGCGGGAGCCTTTTTAAAAAATTTTCGGGAAATGCTGTCATTAATTAATTCGAAAAATTTTACCTTACGGTATCTTTCTAGAGGTAATCGTACTTCTTTCGATAAATCAGTCGGATTATTCGGAATAGCTATAATACGATTTTCTGCTGATCCAAATTTGCAGAAAGCTGGAAGAACCTTGCACGAAGCTGTAGAGATTAAACGAAACCTCGGTCGAAAATGTATTTGGACTGAGCAAGAAGAGAGCAAATTGCTAGAGGCAGTCGAAAAGCATGGAACCAAGTGGAATTATATTTCTCTCAATTATTTTCAATCAACGAAGTCGCCTGCATCGTTAAATCAAAAGTTTACGTCTTTGCAATTAAAACGCAAGAGATCTTCATATCATAATCCATGGACCCGCGAAGAGGACGAGATATTAAAGAGGGGAGTTTCGAAATATGGGGTCGGAGATTGGGTTAGCATATCCGAACTATTGCAAAATAGAGATAACGTGCAAATTTACAATCGGTGGCAAATTATTTCTAAAACAAAACGTGGTCGTTGGACAGATGATGAGCACAAACTGCTTCTAGATCTTATTGATAAACATGGACAGAAGTGGACAGAATTGTCCGATATTTTGAATCGACCAGCAAAATGCATTCAAAGTTATTATGAATACAATATTGTTAACAAAAAGTGGACTGCAGAAGAGAACAATACTCTCTATCAAGCAATTAAAGAATATGGTGAAAATTGGGATATAATCATGAAGTATTTTCCATATAGAACCGTGAACAACGTGAAATTTCATTTTCAATATATTGTCGCGTGCAATCCTAACATCAATAAGGGTAGATGGAATGAAAAGGAGATTGCAGCATTTGATAAAGCATTTAAAAAGTACGGAAAAAAATGGAAACTAATTTCCCAAGAGGTAAAGACCAGGACGCCTCAACAATGTAAAGATCATATAAAAAGACAGTTATTAAATCTCTTCAAATAAAAGGTCTTAATCCTAATTTATGCGAATCCGATTTGGTATATTGTAGATTGGGTTTACTTTAATTAAAATCCTTTGATTTTGAAAATACAGTAAGTAATTCAAAGGTATCTATATTAAAACAACATAATATAGCGCCTAAACTAAAAAAAAATACAAAACTCTTGGAACAAATTAAATCGTCATAAAATATTAAGATATAATCAAAACCAAATATGAATTGTTTCCTTTCCGCTAGTTTCTTAATTTATTACGAGGTTCCCCATGCCACTCTTTTGAGATGATCTTTTTTCCTTGACGCAGGTCCAATTATCCCGAGAATTTTAAGTTCCTCATACCCTTTGATAAATCTTGCACTAATTAGTTAAACATGTGGAGAGGTTAATTAGATTCATACATGTTATTATCGGACCAGTTTACTGAAAAGGTAATTGACGTAGATATCTACAAATAAACACAATTTTGAATGCGCTTACCGGACTTCTTTATCATCGATTTTTCCGTTTTCCAAATTATCTCTGGAGATCACACTTTCAAATGATTCCAGCCAATCATATATATTAATTAATTTACCACATTGTAAATGTAATTTATATAGTATCGAAGTATCCGGATGGGTTGATAAAATTTGTTCTCTAGGATCTAAACAATCACCGCCATCTTCATCTAACTCGCAACAATTACATTTGATGTAGTCTGTAGGAAGTCCAAGTGCCGCATGTATCGCTTGTCGAGGTTTTGGAGTTAATACCTTTTTTTATGATTGTATAAGTTACGATATGATCTTATATGTTTAAATTCAAAAATAATAAACGAAACACTTTTTTTTTTTCTTACCGATTCTAAAACACTATGATCTTGATAATAAAATATTTCATAAAGAGTGTTGGAAGAATAATGCTGGAGGTTTTCTCTGAATAAATTAATCAATACGAATGAGTATCATAAAATTTAACATGGATGAAAGTAGAATCGATTTCTAATGGGCACTCACTCAAAGAAAATCAACATGTAGTTTCTAAGTTCCGTTTTTAGCTTTCGATATTTTCCTTTAACTTCGGTATTTTGCGATTCAGACTCATTCTCATAGATGACTTCCAATTGATCAAGAAATCCAATAATTTCTTGGCATTCTTGAGTCATAATCCCTAAAACATTAGAAACATCTTCAAGATAGTCGATCCATGTTCGAAGTAAAATTCCGAGATCTTTATATTCCAATTTCCTGATATTAGAAACATGTTACCTTTTAATCTTAGAATATTTGTAGTAAGTCACTTCGACAAATTAGAATGAGAAATTCGATACGCACATTAAATCATCAACTAATTTCAGAATGAAACAGCTTTCCCCCAGACCTGGTTTTTTCAGCGCAAGTGAATACAATTCATGTCTCATTTTTGTATGACTCGAATCATAACTCAGACACTCTTGTGAAAAGAATGCCAATTCAAACGTGGCACCAAACTTTTGGTGATAATTTTTCATTGCACGCAAGAAAACCGGCAGCAATGTTTTAACATAATCGTTGTCGCATAATAATTTATGTACTTCTTTCGGTTGGTGAAGTTGAGATTCAACGTACCTGTTACAGAGTTCAAATAATAATTACGTTTTAATGTAAAACAAAATGAGGGATCAAGAAATTCCAAAGTCTGATTTTACACACTTCCTAAATGACAGTTGCATCCGAATTATTTCGATGTGACTTTCGGTCAACAATTCAATTCTCGAATGCGCTTCCTCAGGCTCGACTGTTGTGAGGATGCTCAAGGGATTTTCACAAAAATGATGCAACACGGCATACTGCATTTTGTTACAATTCTGACTTAATAGAAAAAATTTTGAAAACATACACGGATTTTAGCAGATACAAACCTTGTAACCTGAAACAAACGATGATAATGAATATCTGACTCCAATATATGCATCCTGGAGAAGTTCAAATACTTTTTCTCCAAATTTTACGCATTGAATATTATCTATCAAGCGCTTAAGTATGTCGGACTGATTAATAATTGATCAAGAGTAGGCAAACATGCAAAAAAAAAAATTTTTTTTTAATTCCAACCTTTGACAACAAAGCATCAAACCGACTTTTTTGCGACTTTAAATAAAATGTACTAATTCTTAACAACCGTACCACCGAATACGAATAATTATCACGAAACACGTCGACTTCTTGAATACCAGTCGAAATTCCTAAGATAAATATTATGGGAATTCTATCCTGATATTCGCTATTATACGAAAAGCCTCTAATTTAAGAACCGTTAAGTTAATGCAATTAAAATATTCCACAGAACCATTACCTGCAAATGTGTATGTAGCCTTCGAAAACCGAAGGTGAGATACACTCAACATCCTGAATCAAAACGACAAGTTTTAATAAGGATCCCAGGCCTAACGAAACAAACAAAATATTTGTTACGTTTGATTGATTAGGTTAGGTTAGGGCACATATTTTTGCAAGTTAAAAAAACATTACCATCGGTTTTCGTTCGAAAACAGGATTCATACCATTGGGCCAAAGAATCCATGTCAATCTTATGATAGTAAACGTGGTTAATATTTAATTTAGTTTAAAATATTTAAAACTTCTTTGACATTCACTTACTATATCCTGGATCGGATAGACAATTGAATCTTCCGCATCCTTGATGAAGATACATATTAATATGTTATCTTTAGTTCCCATGTCAAAAACAATTGATACCATGAATGAAAATTGCCCGCGGACAATAATGCATACTTTGATGTATAATACCTCATCGCTATCATCCTCATTCATAGTATCGTCGTTTTGATCTTGTTCGTTAACAATCTCTGTTTTTGTGTCAAAGTTATTACTAGAATCAAATACTTCATCTTCGTCTTCACTATCATCACAAGGCAACGTCGTGCCCAAAAATTTTCCAACTGTATTCTTCATCATTACTTTTAAATTAATGCAATGAGTTGGGTCAAGAGACACAACATGATTTTGTTGGTTCAGTGAAAGTTCATAGGAGACACCTTCAAAAAACTTGGCGTTCTCGGTAGCATCGGTGCCTACAATTTTCAAGTTTAATTATTATACGTATATAATTATAACGCGTATATAATTGGATCACCTTTATAATCTTATCTAACCGGTCCAATTATATGGGAAGATGACTCTATACAAGTCCTACTGTGCTTGGTCAAATCAATAATGATACTTGCCTGAAAACACCAATGCTGTCGGAAGTCCGAGAGTACGCGAAGCAGGAAACCTGAAGATGATGTGTATTATCGAAAATTAAAAACTTCACGCTATTGATGTTATCTTAAAACAATCAAAATTGCTTACTTTCTCGCATTAAGATTTTCATTCTCATTATAAGTGTTCTCCACAAAATCACATAAATCCTCAACGACCTTTTCGTTAACTTTGTAACATAAACTCTATTATTATACAGAAAGAGAATATGTGAACGCATATTTATCAAACTATGATCACGTGACCAACCATGGATCAATAATGTAGAATCTCTTACATCTGTATCACTTTCTAAAGATTTAATGATTTCAAGATAATCAGAAAATCTAGATTTGGCCGCCTCGAGCGGTTCTTTTCCATCTAAAAGAGGCTTAAAAGGATCATCTTTCGAAAATACCCAGCGCAGTCAAAAGACGCGTAATTTTTTAATAAATAATTTATTTAAGATGCCTCGAAACTCGAATGTTCAAAATTTTCTATGGAAAAACGCGAAAACCTTTTCATTCAACATACCCTTCTTGCTTCTTCCTCTAGTGGAGGAATTTTGTTTTGTCGGAAGAAATAAAAAAGACCCCTAACAATAAAGATAATTTCTTAAATGCGCGGTTAGGTAAGAAACCTGTTCTTTTTTGAAAGTATCAAAACCTTGGATTTTGAGCTAATGCAATCGCCTTCTTTCGGAGAGTGAAATTTACGAGACATTGATGTAAATGAGAAATGATAATGTATGATCAGCTAATATTGCAATTATCTACACGTGATACGATTGGTAATTTTAATGCAAATTTAAATAATTTAGAGATTTATTTTTTTCTTTTTTTTTTTGCAAAAGATAATATCTTGTAAAAAATTAAATTTAAAATATATTAATACCACACAATATTTTTTCTAACTGTTTGAAATTAATATTTGAAAAAGTATTCTTATATAAAAAAATATAAGCAAATTAATACTTGTATATAATAAAAGTTAAAATAAAAAAAAAATCTTTTAAAATAAATTAATATCTTTTTTAACAAGATTTTTTATATAATTAATTATTATAAATAAGAAACAAGTGTTTTAATTAGGGCTCCAAACAAGTTGAGTTAAATTGAACTTTGTTTAAGCTTGAGTTTAACTCATAATTAAAATAAAAAACTTGATTTGATTAAATTTTGCTAAAATATAATTCAAACTTAACTTATATTATATTACATATATTAATTTTATTAATAATTGATTTATATTATTATTTTTTTAAAATTTTAAATATTATACAAACTATATACAGTCCACCCTCGTTAATAGCACATCGATGGTTCCAGGATTTTTTGGTGCTAATAACGAATTGTTCTATTAA